CTTTGATCCCTTGGATCTTCAGGTGAGTGTTTTTTAATTTGTTTTTTTTCTGCAGTTTCCTTTTTACTGATTTCTAGTTTCATACCATTATGGTCAGAGAAGATACTTGGTGTGATTTCAGTGTTCTTGAAGTTCTAAGAATTGTTTTTTGTCATAACATGTTCTATCCTAGAAAATGTTCCATTTACACCTGGGAAGAATGTATTCTGCTCTCCAGATAGAATGTTCTGTATATCACTGTTAAGTCCATTTTGTCTGTAGTGTTATTCAAATCTGCTTTTTCCTTATTGATTTGACGTCTACATGATCTGTCCATCGTTGAGTAGAGTATTAAAGTCCCCAGCTATTACTGTATTGTTGTTTATTTCTCCTGTTAGGTCTGTTCATTTTTGCTTTATATGTTTATGTGCTCTGACTTTAACTTTGGGTACATAAATATTTACAATTGTTATGTCATCTTCATGTATTGAGCCCCTTATCTTTTATATAATGAACTTCTTTGTCTCTTTTTACAACTTTTTTAAAGATTGTATTTATTAGAGAGAGAGAGAGCAGGGGAGGGGGCAGAGGCAGAGGGAGAAGCAGACTGCCTGCTGAGCCAGGAGCCAGACATGGGGCTTGATCCCAGGACCCTGGGATCAATGACCTGAGTCGAAGGTGGACGCTTAATGGACTGAGCCACCCGGGCACCAGCTTTTTACAATTTTTAAAGTCTATTTAGTGTGATATAAGTATAGCTACCCTGGCCTTTTTTTTTTTTTTTTTTTGGTTACCAATTGCTTGAAATGTCTTTCTTCACTCTTGGTCTGCCTTTAAGTCTGAAGTGGGTCTCTTGTAGACAGATTATCATTTGAGTCTTGTTATTTTAATCCATTTAGGCTTTCTTTGTCTTTATATTGGAGAAATTAATCTGTTGACATTTAAGGTAATTAGGGATAAGGATTTGCTATTGCCATTTTGTTGTTTTATGTTTGTTTTGTAGATCCATTGTTCCTGGTCTTATCCTATTGTTTTTGTGGTTTGATGTCTTATCATTGTCAGTATACTTTGCCAACTTTGTCATCTTCTTTTGTGTAATTACTAAGGTTTTTTCCCTGAGTTACATAAATTCTTTGAGGCTTACATAAATACCTTGAGGCTTACATAAATACCTTAAAATTTAACACCCTATTTTTAACTAACACCAACTTTTATTGAATTCCTAAGCTTTACACTTCTCACATTTTAGTTAATTAATGTTGCAATTTACATTTTCCTTATTGTGTAGTTAATAACAGATTATTAAAGATATGGTTACTTTTACTATGTTTGTTTTTAAATTTTAAACTAATCTTAAGTGACTTACACACCACCATTACCCTATTACAGAATCCATTTTTTACTATTTCTCATTACCAATAGTTTTACACTGACTTTTTTTTTTTTTTTTTAAAGATTTTGTTTGGCAGACAGAGATCACAAGTAAGGCAGAGAGGCAGGCAGAGAGAGTGGAAGGGAAGCAGGCTCCCTGCTGAGCAGAGAGCCCAATGCGGGGCTCCATCCCAGGACCCTGAGATCATGACCTGAGCCGAAGGCAGAGGCTTTAACCCACTGAGCCCCCCAGGTGCCCCTTATACTGCCTTCTTAAGTTTCTTTGCTGTTACCTAATGATCTTTTATTTTCACTCAAAGAGCTCCCTTTAGAATTTCTTGTAAGGCAGGTCTAGTGGTAATGAACTCTCTCAGCTATTGTCTGTATGGCAAAGTATATCCCTCCTTTATTTCTGAAAGACAGTTTCACTGGGTATAGAATTTTTTTTTAAGAACTTAATTATTTATTTGACAGAGAGAAACACAGTGAGAGAGGGAACACAAGCTGGGGAGTGGGAGAGTGAGAAGCAGCCTTCCCACTGAGCAAGGAGCCCGATGTGGGGCTCGATCCCAGGACCCTGAGATCATGACCTGAGCCAAAGGCAGACGCCTAATGACTGAGCCATGTGGGTGCCCCTGGGTATAGAATTCTTGGTTGAAACTTTGGGTTTTTCTTTTTTTTCTCCCAGTATTTTGAATATGTTGTCCCATTATTTCAGACCTGAAAAATTTCTGTTGAGAGGTCTACCTTTAGCCTTATTTGGGGTTCCCTTTTTTATAATCTCACTTTTCTCTTACTGCTTTCAAAAGTATTTGTCTTTGACTATTGACGTTTAATTGTAAAGGTCTTGATTTAGCCCTATTTGAGTTCAGCCTGTTTAGGTCTTTAGGGCCCCTTGGATCTGGGTATCTATTTCTCTACCCAGGTTTGGTAAGTTTTCAGCCATTATTGCTTTAAATATGCTTTCTCTCCATTTCTTTTTCTCCTGGAATTCCCATAATGCAAATATTACTTGTTTTCATTGTGTCCTGTAATTCCTGTAGCCCCTCTTCACTTTCTTTCATTTTTTTTTCATTGCTTCTCTAACTGAATAAATTCAGTTGTTTTTCTTCCAGTTCATTGCTTTGGTCTTCTGCATGGTTAAGTCTGCTTTTGAAACTATAGTATTCTTCGATTCAGTTATTATATTTTTTAGCTCTAGGATTTGGAGTGGATTTATTTTTAATGATTTCTATTTCTTTGTTGAATTTCTTGGTCATGTATTGTTTTCCTAATTTTATTTAGCTGTGTATTTTTATGGTTCACTAAACTTCTTTATGGGAATTATTCTGAGTTATTTATTTGACAACTCATAGATCTCCATTTCTTTTGGGTCAGTTACTAGAGTTTCATTTATTTCCTTTGGTGGTATCGTACTTACCTGATTTTTCATAAGATCTTTGATTCCTTTAGGTTGGTACCTGCACATTTGACTAAGGTGTCTTCTCTTTCAGACTTAGCATGTTTGATTTGTTAGAGACATTCTTCACTAATCAGCTCAGTCTGGATTTCTGGACATGCCTGCTGATAACATCCTTGGGTAGGTAAGGCCTCCTATTAGAGTCTATTTTTGGACAAGGCAACTAACTGTTCATGCTCTGAGGTCAGGGGTATGTCAGAGACTGAGACTAGCTGGATAGCACTGCTGACTTGGTTCCCTACTCCAGTCAGCCTGTGGTATGGTCTTTGTGATTTCCTGAATTCTTTGGTGAGACTTACTAGAAGGTTGGGACTGGTACTATATTTAGCATTCTTTGGGGCAATGAATTAGCCTCTCTGCCCTAGCAGGGCAGCAGGATGGGACCCAGGGCCGCCTAGCTTGTTTGGGGACCTGATGCAGGCAAGAGTGTGCACTGAGTATCCTGGTCAGATGAGGCCACTCGTTTTGCTTTACAGATGTGGAAAGCCACAGGTTGTGCTTCATTCAAGTGCCCTGTAAATGAGACTCTTGGATGGGCTATGCAGTTTCCTGTGTGCTCTGGTTAGGTTTCCTGTGTGGGTAGGTTGAAGGTTGTGTTGAGCAATAGGTGGGGCTCTGAACTCATTTCCCTGGTTGGGTGCAGCAGGAGAAGCAGCTCAAAGACCATTAATGCTCTTTGTGGTCTTGATTCAAGCCAACCCATGCCTCATGTGCCCTGGCCAAATAAAACCACTGGATTTGCTCTTAATGCTATCAATTCTGCCCACCTACTTCTTGGCTTAAGAGTTGCTGGGTCACATAGCTTCCAGGTGTTTTTGTCAGCTCTTCCTGTCAGATGGCACAGGAGGTGATGCTTTGTAGGTATGAGGGCTGGGGAGGGCTAGGCCTCTGGATACTGTGTGGGCAAGAGCCCACTTCAGAAAACTCCCAAATTTTCCTGAACAGATTTTGGGGCTGGGAGCCATGATCTGCAGCAGGGTAGCTGTCGCTCAGCTCTTCTGCCAGGGCATGAGAAGACCAGGCACCAGGGCCAGCAGAATTCCTTCTTTGGGGACCCAAATTTGGCAGGCCAAATTCCCCAGATAGTGCCACTGACTTGGCTTGTAGATGAATGAAACCACTGGTTGGGACTATTAGGCTATACTCATGGGAATTCAGTCTTCCAACTCCCAAGTGTTGGTTGTTGGAAGACCCTCTCCCCTTCTCTGTCTCAGGCTCCTAGTGGTTGAACCCCATACTTTCCCTGCAATCCTTGTAGAGTGAAACCTGAGTAGGGCCTCCAGCTAAGCAACCTACAACATTGAGTCAGGGTTGGGGAGCTGGATGTCACCCATGGGCGCTCCCCACTAGAGGAACTGTAGACTCAATGGAGATAGCTCCATGCAGTGGTGAGGCAGCCTGGGGGAGGGGAAGCGTGGTCAGCATGTTGACCTCTTACCTTTCTAATGCAGTCTGTCTTGGTCTCTGTTGTGTTGTGGGGGGCCTTAGCCTCACTCCTGAGCACTAGAATCCTCTCAGTGGTGTCTCGTCCATGAATAGTTGTTAGTCATCTTCTTGTGAAGGTGAGCAAAGTCAGAAACAACCTCTGTCACCATGTTGGTGATGTTACTCCTCTTACCTCTCTTACCTTATTCCCATTTCAGCAAAATTTAATACATTAGCTTATTAACAGATTTTACCTATTAATAATAGTGATGTGTAGCGGCGCCTGGGTGGCTCAGTCACTTGAGCATCTGACTCTTGATTTTGGCGCAGGTCATAGTCTCATGGTTGTGAGATTGTGCCCCATGTTGGGCTCCGTGATCGGCAGGGAGTCTCCTTGGGATTCTCTCCCTCCACCCCTCCCTTACACATGTGCACTCTGTCTAAAATATATTAATCTATAAAGGAGAAAAAAAATTGATGCAGATTGTAAAAGGTCGCCCTTTACATTCTAGAATGTACTGATAATTAAAAACCATGCAGTTGTAAATGTTATTTATCTCTGTCCAAACTTTCTTCCACTACGTTTCTTCAAAAGTTTATAATCAAACTCTTTTCAGAACTTTCAGCATTGGTTACTAATGTTAAATCATATTAACCAGTTATGCAATTTCTAAAATGATAGGTGATAAAATTAATTATATTATTAAATAGCTAGGACAACCAAATTCTCTAGTTTTTTATTGGTATTTTTCCTCACTGCAATATGACATTGCTAACTTGGTTCTACTAAAAGAATCAGGCTGGTGGTTGGCCCACACTCTCTTGTTAATGTGGTCTCTAAGTAGTAATAAAAGGTTATTTTAAAATGCTATATTTTATAACATTTATAATTTCAAATGTTATATTTAATATGGTCTGAACTCATATTTTAAAAACCAAAGAGTAAATGTTGCTTCTATTTTATTAGGTATTAGACTCGTGTTAAAGAAGTGAATTATAAGTTTCAGCATTTTTTAAATGATGAGATTCCAGAAAAAAGGAAAACAAGATTATAATAACAATTCAAAATATATTATTTAAGGAAAAGTTAAAGTGATCATTAAACCTGAAAGATAAGCTCAAGCAATTACAAAACTTCTCAGTTACAGAGACACATCTGCCAATCAAAAGGGGTACGTTTCCACAGTGTGCTCTGTTACTTGAAATACTGATAACAGAGACGGGGTGGAAGGCAATGTCAGATGTTTTAGAAAACAAAATATATATCTGGAAGTGAAATATGGGGAAAAACTAAGGATAACAGGTGTGAGGGTAGAAGGAACTCCGGGCACTTTGAGCAGATGCATGCTGTGACAAGGAATTTTACTGATGACTCAGGTGATGGAAGAGGTCAGCACTATGTAGTGAACAGAACTTTCTGAGTCTAGAACAATTTTTTAAATGGGGAATTTTTCCTTTATATGTGTTTGATAAAAGAAATGGCTACATCTTGTTCTTCAACATCTAAAGAAACTAAGAGCTGGACTCTTTTCCCTTTTTGTTGCTACATTTTATAGTTCTCAATGACATGTACCATTTCTTGAATTATTTTTTATTTTAAATTGCACTGCTCCCTTATTTTTGGAAAGTGTTTCTTGTGTGTCCTTTATTTTGGATCTTCACAGGGAAACTTCAGGCAGTGAGAAACACAGCTTCGTCAGAATCACGGTCCTTTCCACTGTCTTCACTTGGTGCACACTCCCCACCACTTGGAGACCGGCAGCTCAGATCCTCTACCCCAGACTCCTGATCACTGTTGGCTGACAGATCTGGATCTGAGCTTTTCAAATTGTCTTGGGTTAGAATGAGAGCAGAATCTTCATCACCTTGTGAAGGACTCCTGGATGGAAAAGATTTCATATTTCCACTGTAATCCTGGGGAGTGTTGGCTGTGCTGTTGTCTGAGGTAGAAAACCCTGAGTGTTTGCTGGGTTCAGTCTGTTTACTCTTCACTTTATTGTGATTTAACTGGACTTTCTGAATTTTTTCCAGCCTCTAAAAAAAAAAAAAAATTTTTTTTTCAGGGAAAAATCTTAAATAATTTAGCATTTATTACTTTCCAGCTGGATATAATGTTAAGAACATGGGATTTAAATGGACATGGGTTCAAAGCTAGGCTTTATGACCTTGGACAAAATAATTAGATTTTCTGAGACTTGGTTTCTTCATCTCTAATTAAGGAAGGTAATACTGGCCTTAGTATATAGGTTTTCTGTAAAATGCAAACAAAACAAAACAAAAACCCAAAAAAACCTATATAGAGCACCTGGCAATCAGGAGTCATTCTTCTCTACTGTAAGGTTTTATGTAATGATTTTCATCCTATGAACTCAAAATACAATTCTTTAAAAAATGAGGAATGAGGTGTTTATTATCTAAGTTTTTAAATTAAGATATAAGTCACTTACCATAAATCTCCCCTTCTAAAGTATATAATTCATTGGTTTTAATATATTCACAAGGTTACACAATTCACTACTACCTAATTCCAAAATATTTTCATCATCCCAAAGAAAACCCCATATTCATTAGTAGTTACTCCCTATTCCCCCTTCCCACAGTCCTGGCAACCACTGAGGCGCTTTCTGTCTGTATGGATTTGCCTAGTCTGGACATTTCCTATAAATGGAATCATACAATATATGTCCTTTTATGTCTGGCTTCTTTCCCTTAGTTTATATTCTCGGGGTTCATCCATGATGTAGCATGTATCAATACTCCATTCCTTTTTATGATTGAATATTACTACACTGCATGAATATCCACATTTTGTTCTCTTCATCAGATGATGGACATTTGGATTGCTCAAAATACATTTTACCAGATTTCATCCTTTGCCATCAACCAGGGAAGTGTTAAAAGATCAAGTATTACATACTCCTTTCAAAAGCATTCTCCTTATGTGCAAAGAGCATTGTACTGGGCAATATGAGTAATGGAGATAATACAGATCCAGCCATAAGGAACTGGAAGTATGGAGGCAGAGTTCAGGTAATGTAAGAACTTGCAAGAGGTCACAGTTGTTTAAGAGGGTGAGTGGGATGGCTAGAGGGAAGAGATCCAAATAAGCTTCAGGGATGAAGGAGCATTTTTTTTTAAAGATTTTATTTATTTATTTGACAAAGCGATAGAAAGTGCAAGTAGGCAGAGCACCAGACAAGAGGGAGAGGAAGAAGCAGACTCCCTACTGAGCAAGGAGCCTGATGCTGGGCTTGATCCCACTGGGATCATGACCTGAGCGGAAGTCGCTTAACCAACTGAGCCACCCAGGCGTCCCAGTGAAGGAGCATTTTAACGGGACTATGAGGGAATTAAACTGGAAGGTGCTGGTGATGGTTAGAGCATTTATGGCAGGAGGGACAATAAGAAAAAATTAGAGGTCATTGTGTACAAGAAGCAGAGAACAGTTAAATTTGAGCAAGGGCAATGACGTGGATGAAACTAGAGGGTATTATGCTAACCGAAGTAAGTCAGTCAGAGAAAGACAATTACCATATGATCTCACTGATACATGGAATTAATGAAAAGGCAGAGGAAGAAACAAAATAAGATGAAACCAGAAAGGGAAACAAACCGTAAGAGATTCTTAATCTTAGGGAAAAAACTGAGGGCTGCTGGAAGGGAAAGGGTAGGGGAGATAAGGTAACTGGGTGATGGACAATGGGGAGGGTATGTGTTGAAATGAGCACTAGGTATTATATAAGACCCAGAATCACAAACCTGTATCCCTGAAACAAATAATACATTATATGTTGATAAAAAATTGAAAAAAAAATTTGAGCAAGGGCAATAACAGAGAATAAAGCTGAAGGAATTGATTACTGAATTGTGGGAAAATCTTAAATGCGAGGCTAAGGGGTTTTGACTTTGTTATAAAGGAAAAAGAGCCAATGTCTTTTAATTAAGGTTTTTCTAAGTAATTTTCTTTTTCATTTTTAGTATTTTAACAAAAAATTTTGGAATAGACCAGGAGAATCCTAAGCTTTTCATAAAGCTTGGGTATCTTCAGGAAGAGTAAATAAAACTGGCTTACTGATGTCGTGAGTGGACTTAAAAATGACAAAAATCATAAAGGCTTTTACCAGAGCTCCAGAATCCTAAAAACCTAAACTGTGCTTCATTTCATTTGTCTGTGTGTGTTATTTATAATTCAAGGTCTCTCAGCCCTGGTGACAACTCAAAATCATTGTGGAGCTTGAAAGATTCTGTATCAGAATCTCTGGGCTTAGAGCCCTGGCAGTAGGATTTCATTCATTCATTCATTCATTCATTCATTCCAATTTTTTGAGGTGATTTTGATGCACAAAAACTATTTCTCCAGTAATGTAAACTTAAGGTAGAACTCTCCAAATAAGTCCAAAGATGGTTTGTTTTACCTTTGCAGATTTATAATAGATAAAAATTTATGCTTGACTTCAAAAGTTCTCAAAACCAACAGTTCACTAGTGACGGAATTTGTTTTATCCATCTGGCCACTGTATGGACTTGGGTGAGCAACCCTAGATCAAGCTCTACCATGATACTCATATCTTGAAATGTGATGTTTCCTGGTAATGTTATGGGAGCAACCAGAGAAGTCAGCCTCACCAGCTACCTCTACATGACTGTCTTTATTGGTGGGGTCCCTGAACCATAGTATGTGTCCCCCAGGCCATCATTCTTAGGAGTGACTCTCCCTTAGGTAAAGGAGTAGACTTTGTTGGAATGTATCTTATGATATTTTGCCAACTTTCATTTCATTAGATGTTACCAATCTACACTACATATCTCAGGAGTGTGGAGAAAAGGCTGTTCATCTTATTTTGGTATTTAGTCTCAATTGAGAATTCAGGTCCGGACCACAGCAATTGGTTGCCAATTCTTGAGTAAGTGAATGACATGATGACATCATGGATTTTTAAGAGGAATGAAGCAGAATGAAGCAAAGAATCCAAGTGGTTTTAGTGAGCATCTAAACCAGTGGTATCACTGGAAACAAAGTTATATAATTAGCAAAAATGTGTATATTATAACCTTCCTGGCCAATTAGTGGGAAATTATAAAAGCCAAAAATTAGGCTGTTGCTAAGTTGGTCTCAGCTATTACCATTCATGGAGAAATTTTTACCATACATGCATTTATCTGATTTTGTTCTTTCACTCTGAATCCCATTTTTTATGTACACCCCAGAAGGAATTCATTTTAGTTTTCTCAAATAACAGTAATGAATAAAACCTGACCCATTGTAGGAATAACTGACTAGTTCAGCAAACCATGTAAGGGAGCCCCAAGCCAGATGTCAAAATGTACTAAGTGCCTAGGTTGGAGCTTTGGTGATCTGGGTGCTTACCCGGTGGGTTTCTGGTTCAGGTTATCTACTTAGCTAAAAATATGATGTGGCTATGCTGCTGTGATTCACATATCCTGAGTCATGAGAGACGTTCATGGAACAGTGGTTATCAAGAAATAAGCACAGAAAAGAGACGAACAACAACGAGTGTGTCTTACTTCTTCTAGGGCCTCTAGTTCTTCCTCCAGCTGCTGGGTCTCCTCCTTCACTGCCATAAGGTAATCCGTAATGGACTGTCGGGGCTGCAGTCCCTTTTCAAAGCGGTTGTACATCCCATTCCAGAACCTGCAAAAGATGGCAAAGTTTTAGGGTACCATCATATCACAGTGTGTAAGTTCACTCTCTCAAATCTTCTAAGATACCTGTCATGCCAGAGTCCCAAAGTCCTAATAATTACCAATGGTGGGCTCACACTTAAGGTAATGATTTCATGTTGATGCTCTCTTTTTCTTGGGTCAGTAAATTTCTTTTGAGAGGATAAATTCATGGTGAGTCTACTTGTACACATGGTCCTGAAATAAGGCCTGTATCTTTCTAAAGTAGAATGAAGTAGCACATATTAACACATTCTTCTTTCTTTTTAAGAAAATAGCTCTCAGTTTTGAAATAAACTTGGAAAATTAGTGATTATATTAACATTTAGATTCTTTCAGCTTTGTAGATTTGAGGGTTTTGGCTTGTTTTTTTTTTTTTTTTTTTTTTTTTTTTTATCACAACCACCAAAAATTGATGTTTCCATTTGCAATAAATCTTCCCTTTTTTATCCTACACAATAAAGCATACTGCATTGCAAAGAATAAATAGTACTATCACAAGGATATCTGTAGATTGATGCTTTAAGTAAAGTACTTTGAGGGCAGGGTTTTAGTGTTACTCATTGTCTTATCCATACTGCTTAGAATAGTGCTTGACTCTCAGTAACACACTTGTTGACTGGCTGTTACTAACAAATTAGGAGCAATACAGTTGATTGAATTGTATCTCAACAGCTCTCAAACTGATGTTTTATGGCTTTTTTTTTTCAGTGTGAGACAATATTCTTTCAAATTATGGGGAAATAATTAGATTGAAATAGTTAAGAACAAAAGCAAATTGAGGAGGGAAAAACAACTCTAAAGGAAGCCACTAAGCACTGAGTGCATTTTGTGGGGGTGCATAGGGAGAAAGAATGGGGTTTCTCAGTTTATTCTGTGTAAGTTGGTCTTTTTGCTGACTACTGAGACATCCTTCCACATCATACAACTTCCACATAGAGAACCCAAAGGATAAAATATGACATGCAGCTTTAATAGAATCTGTAGGATGCCACCCTGCTCTTCCATATCCCAATATACAGTCTTAATTTATTTCCACAGAGAAATAATGCCACTAGGCAGAGTTTCAGCAGAGAAAGAAGGCAAGCTAAGTCATGATCACGACCTAAACTTGTGATTCCACATTTAACTTAGAAGACACTTGGTTTATTTGGTCCCTCCTTTCCTCTGTCCTTTCTTGCTTCCTTTTCTTCTTCCCTCCCTGTTTTTTGCTTTTAAATAATATTGGAACTTACATTTTTAAAGTATAATTTTTATAAAATATTGATTTCGAAATAGAATTTGATATGTAGGGGAAAGGAGGGGGAGAGGGGAGACAGGCAAGAATACCAGATATTTAAGCATTCTCTAGTGTGTTTTATGTCCCAAAAAACCCCTTGAGGCCCAGTGTTCTATATACTTTGGACTCCAGATATTAAACAGTAGCAGGATCTACGTTCATAAGCGTCCTCAATAAGGTCCTGTAGGTTTGCATACTTGTACATGAAGTTGCATGGTGTTGTGGGGAGACGAAGGGTTCCGCGGGTCTGACTCTGATCAGCTCTAAATAGAGGATTCATGTAGTCGGCGCGATTCTTCCACAGGTGAGCCCACAGAGAGTAGGTTCTTTCTTGAATTCTGTTATAAAGAAAAGAAGCCTGAAAATGACCTATCTTGGTTCTTAGAAATTGCAGGTATGTAATATTTAAACTGGAAAGGGACCAATAATTGTGAGGTGAATATCCCGTGTCCCTGTTCTGTGGCAGGGAAATTCACAGTCTGTGTGTGTTTTCATGTTCTAGCAGAAGGGCGCTGTAATAGTGTCAGCCTCTCTGCTATGTGTACTGACCTCAACAAGGTGTTTGATTCCTCTGAGTGTAAAGTAAAACTGCTGTGTAATTTGGAGGAAATTTTTCCCCAAATAGTCACTGGAATTTTCTTATTTGCCAAGTACTACTAAAATGCTTCACAAACTGTTTCTTTCATCCAGTCCTCACTGAACTCCTACAAGATCTGTCCATTGTACGGATGAGGAAATCAAGGCGAAGAGAGATGGAGCAGTTTCTCAAAGTCACATAGTACAAAGACACAGTTAGTGGAATAGCCAGAATTCAAAGGCAAGCAGACACCAGTAAAGTGACTGGTCCATCACAGCAAACCACAAAACTGTCTAGGAAAACAGGCAAGCTTGAAGGAAGCACTCTGCTACTTTTCATCATTTACCAGTTAACCAGGAATCACACTTGAAGTTCCTGAGAGAAAACTGAGTATCCACCAGAAAAAGCTATTTTCTTTCTGTTCAGAATGTATAAAACCAGTGACATCCATTTTACTTGAACTGATCATTTCCAAAATTAAATCTGATATTATTATATACACTACAGTTAAAATCATTTCATGACAATTTCAAAACTGCTCTCTCATTGCAGTTCATAAAGCACTTTGCTGTTAAGTTTTTGACTTTGCAATTTAAGTTCTACATTTCATTGACTTTCCTCCTGGGTAGAGACAATACAGTTTTAATCTGAATAAAAGGTGACTTGGGGCTTCAAATTTGCTTTCCCGGTTAGATTTGCATTCTTATTAGAAGAGTATATCCACTGAAGATGTCTAACTTTTTCCTTTTTTTTTTTTTTTAATTATTTATTTATTTATTTGACAGAGAAAGAGATCACAAGTAGGCAGAGAGGCAGGCAGAGAGAGAGGGGGAAGCAGGCTCCCTGCTGAGCAGAGAGCCTGATGCGGGGGCTCGATCCCAGGACCCTGGGATCATGACCTGAGCTGAAGGCAGAGGCTTTAACCCACCGAGCCACCCAGGCACCCCTAACTTTTTCCTCTTAAGTACAAATACCGCTTTCTCTGACTCCAGGAAGCTTCCTTTCGATATGAGTGCCTCAAGTGTGCCACCCTATCTATGGATGTCACTGGGGTAAATGAGCTTGTTATATTGTCAATCTCTAACATTAAACCATTTATGAAGTGATGTCAGAAAAAAGAAAATAACTTTAATCTGTCAGTATAGATATGTGGCTAAAATAGTCTCCAGAATTTTAAAATGCCATCTGAAATTCTCAATCACAAAATCCTTAGATAAAAATTAAAACAGCAAAACACTTACTTGAGTTCTTGTCGCTCCTTTTGACTATTACATAAGAAGTTTCCAAACTGGCAGGAATAAATGTGATGTTGAATGTGAATCAAAAATCTTTCATTGAACTCAAAGGCACAGGGAAATTGTTCCATTAACTGCCAGACACACTCAATGAACTGATCAATAACTGGAGAGATTTCTTTTGGGTCACCATCTAGGTTGCCATATCTATACAAAATATGAGAGATTTTATAGCAGGTTGGGGGTTTTTATTTATAAAGCTACAAATGCAAACATGATCACAAAAAAAACCCTAGTTTCTAGATAAACCTTATAAACCTGAGGTGCAGAAGTAGGAAAAATTAATTTCTTAAATTCCATTTTCAAGAGAAACTTCATACTGAAGGTCTGGCTACAGAAAGGATGTATGGTTAGAAAAGAATTAGTAAAAGATAAAATTCAAGGGAGCTTTCCATGGCAAAAGATCTTTTTTTTTTTTCTTTTAATGAGCGCTTTTTTTTTTCTTTTAATGAGCCTTCTTTAATTCAAGCTTCAAAAGTACATCAGGACTTTTGAAGTAAATCTAACACTTTATTTAATTAGCAATTTATGGGAGTGTAGTTTTTTTGTTTTTGTTTTTTTTTGTTTGTTTGTTTGTTTGCTTGCTTTTGCACTGCTTTGTTGGAAGGGAAGAGGAAGAAAGACACCTTGAAAAAAAAATTGTGGTTTCCCAAGTTTCTCAGATATTTCTAGAGCAATGTTAAAGCCTGTCACATAATTTATTTCCCATGTGACAATTCCATATTTCCAGACTCCCATATACCTTTATATCTCCCATCTTTGTTTTTCAAGAGTACATCAGAATCTTCTCCCTCACATTAGTACTGATTTTTTTAAGTGGCTTCCACACCCAGCATGAAGCCCAAACAGGACTTGAATTCAACTCTGAGATCAGGACCCAAGTCAAGATCACAAATCGGGTGCTCAACGGACTAAGCAACCCAGGCAGGTGCCCCCTGTACTGATTTTTAAATGAAGGCTGCCTAGTCCTTTACACTATTAAGTGAATTTTAGAATCCAAAAGGGGGACTGGGGTGCCATTAAATTCAAAATAACAGTATAGAACCTTATCTGCTCAGCAAGAGATAACCAACTTTAGGAATAGAAATGACCAGAGATCAGTTTAGGAGTTTTTCTAAGAGTGAAAACACTAGAAACTGGAAACTTCTCAAAAATTTAAGTTCCACTCAACTTGGTAACTTTAAAAAGGGCTTCCTCATAAAACAATTACATAGCTAGTCTTTGTCCATTTCCACATTCTTTCTGTCCATATATCCTCTATCTCAGAGATGCTAACTGCCACAAGGTAATAGAACTTCATTTATTTGTGATACAATGTATACAACAAAACTTTTAACTTTTCGAATAAGATACACAAAGAAAAGCCTGTTTCCCCCCACTCAGTTGAAAACTTCAGAAACAGATTTTTTTTTTTATTTTACACATTCAAACCAACAGATTTTTAAATATTTTTTTTACCTGTGATTAAACTTATGACCAAAGGAAATCCAGTCCTTTTCAATTAATACCTACACAAAAAAGAGTATAAATATCATGGAGAGAAGCAAACAAGGAAAAATAAGAGACCCCCAACCAACAGTGCTGAAGGATTCAAAGGATCTTGGGGAAGTCACTATCCTTAGTGTAGATGAATGCACATCATTGTCCACCAAGACAGACGTGCAGAACGGCGAAGCTGAAGGTCATCCACGGGGAAAACATGGGAATGGATATATGAAAAGGTTATAGCAGCACCCACTGAGTGCTTTCTGGGAAACACTGTTCATATTGCTTCATATATAATCTCATTTTACTGTGGGACAAGTAGGCTCACTCATTTTTCAGAAGGAGAAACTGACAGGCTTAATTCTCTTAAGATCACACTACTAAGAAGTGGTGGATGCTACCTCATAACCTAGCTCTTTCTACACTAAAGCCCATCTCTTAACCAACAGGTCTCAGTATACTATCAAATACCAACCTCCTTACAAGAACAATTAGGAATATTTTCCTATGATCTTTGTGACACATTAGGAAAATTCCAAAATGACAGGTGTTAGGGACATAATAGAGGAGTTTCAGCCCTGCTTTAAAGTTGGGGTAACACGAGTTTATAATCTCAAATTATCTGGATGTTAAAAAAAAAAAATCAAATAGTACAGACCAATCCCATGCTCTCCAATGGCCAGGGATCTCCCTTTAAAAATACGGAGTGGTTGAAGTTCGCCCTTAACAACATATAAATTTAATGGGGCAGAATCAGAGAGTCCATGGTGGTAGAGGACGGTGTGAAGAGGTGTGTGAGCCAGGAACCCTCCATTCTCCCAAGTGGGCATGAAGGAATCCAGCCTTCCTAACCTCAGTCCAGGGGAGGGGTCTGAAGCCGGAGTCACACTCAGATGTCTCAGGGCCATCACAGGGAATTGGAAGTTCTGACACTTTCAAAAAAAAAAAAAAAAAAAAAGGAACTAAAAGCCCATAAAGGAAACCTCTGCCACTTCTCTTGTCCCCAGAGTGTCCACTGATCTCAGTCGATGAAGGAGATCTAGCAGCAGAGACCCCCCCCCCCCCCCCCGGTCAGGCTTCTCTAGCAGCATCTGTCCCTAGCATGGGTTCAGGATCCACTGAAGCACTTTCTACCACATCGTGGTGCCAGAGGCGAGAACCAGGTAGTCTCCCAGACCCTAGGAAGCCCCTGCGGTCAAGCTGCGAACAGGGCTCCAGCTCAGCCAGAACTTCACACCCCGGGAGCTACACAAATAACCTGCGGGTGGAAGGAACACGTCGCACTGTGATGCACACCTAAAAGGTGAAAGTCTAGGAAAGGACGCACTCATAGTTTCAACAGAGAGCACAGAAACAGTGAAGTTCTCAATACTCTGAGCCAGAGTTGTGAAGGACGACCCCAAAAAATCAAAGCGGTAAGTAAAAAGTTTTCCTCTCAAGGACTTTTCATGCATCATTCAGAAAATTTTTTCTCCAAATATTTTTTTCTGAAAAATGTTTTCTACCACATGTTCACCTGTTACCTCAACTTGGAATATTTATGAGCAAATAATTTACAAAATTCACTATTTTACAGACTACTGAACATAGTCTATATTGACCCCCAAATTCACATTTAATAGCACCAATTTGAATAGGTTCCAATATCCCAGAAATTCACTTCTTTACTCCAAGACCATTTTCTACATTTTCCCTTTTAATCTTGCTGATCTACCAAGAGAAGAGTAACAGTGAGAGGGGAAAAAAGTTGCCAACAGTTGTCAAAACAGTTGTCGAAAGAGAGGTGCGTTCTGTTCACGGTCCTGCGTGGGAGAGAAGCCCAGCAGCCACACTCACCATAAAGCCCTTCAGAGTCCGGTAATGCGGATCCAGCAGGAGGCTGGCCACTGAGCACACTTGGGCAGTCCTGTCCCAGCCATCGGAACAGTGAACAAGCACGCTGGCCCCTTCCTCTGAAACTGCCTAAAAAACACAGGGTCCGCAGAGAGTCAGAAAGAATGGCCACAAAAAGGAAAAACATCTCATCAGAACAAGGTTTGGGTTTATACCTATGGAAAGAAAAAGGGGAGGGGAAAAAAAAACATAACCAAAAGCAGCTAATTTAGTGTTTGTGTCCCATCCATTTAGGATAGAGCCAAGGAGTGGTTTGGTGCTGGCAACCAGAACTTTTCCTTCCCGTTACACCCAGGAGCCACCCCCAGACCACCACAAGTACACGTGTGTGCTACAGTGGACACACGCTTCCTGAGCAAACCTCTCCAGACCCACCTTCAGCCCTCGCCTCTGGGTTCCACCTTAAACCTTTCCAATATGGAAATTCTGCAGTTGCTACTGGTCTCAATCATTTCCAAAATGAGAAAGACACAAAAATTATATGTAGTAACACCATGAAATTAGAGATCAAAGGATAGGAGTCCAGTAGTGAAACCAGGGAATGAGGGAAGAAAGAGAAAACAAAGTAAAAATTACAGCAGCGAATCTCAAAGAAGATTTCTATCTGCTACTACAAATGCACATACAATTTTTAGCTGAGTGTCCTCTGACAGGAAACATAAACTGGGAAACATGGTAGAGAGTGCGACATAGCACTTTCACTACCAGAAATACTATTTTTTCTTTATTTTTTTCTATTTATTCATTTTCTGTGTCCCATACCAGAATGCAAGCTCTGTAAGAGAAGAAAATCTGGTTTATTTGGCATCATGTGCTCAGCACCTATAAAAGTGCCCGGCACTAAATAAACACTTGGTGAATAAATGAATTCTCTAATAAAGGGGAGCATACCACATCTTCAGGAAAGACATGGTTGTCTTTAGGTATAAATCTGAGAGGGACTTATAAAAACAAACAGAACCAACAACAACAACAAAAAAAATTGAGAAACAAAATAGACAATGCATCCAAAACCTGCTTACATGAAAGCTGCAGAAGGGAACCTACCTACCAGGTTTCGAAACAGAACTTTTTACACCATGTGGCAAAGAAGTTGCAGTTGACTAAGATGGAAGACTGGCATTGGTCACTGAAGTGTCACACATTTGGATATATGTACTCTCCTATAGACAATTCTTTCCTCCACTTAGGACCAAGTCTACCCGAAGAGAATACTCTGAAAATGCCTTACCATGTACTGCTGTGCCGGCATACTATCAACAGAGCACTGTCCTCTCTTTGGCAGAAATCACATGTTTACGAGGCCAAACATCATGGTCTGCAAAGCCAGCTCCCCACTCGGCGAGCCACAGCTGACTATGTGCGTGGAAGCCTCAGCAGATGGGGAGGGTAAACAGGATGTCCATTCCGAAGTCAGAGCTCCCTGGCTGCTCGGCCCTTACTACTTACCTTTGCAATGAAGATCCCTGCATCCATGATGGCCTTAATGTGCCTTAACCAGCCCGAGTTCTCCAGTCCCCACAGAAAGTCACTCATGGATGGAGATTTCAGTTCACACACTGCAAGGTAAATCATGTGATGAAAGCAAAATAAAGACCATCTTACTTTATATATGCTCATATTTGCAGGTAATTTGTTAATGATTCCTTCATCACTGTATTTTCTGGAAGAAATTAAGTCGGGATAAGTGTCCATACTTGTAAAATTGGTTCTACTGAACCACTTCAAGTAAGGCTCTTCTACTCTGTCTGGTCCTAGGGGATGCTGCATCTGTTCAGAAGTATTCTATTTGTAAAGTTTAAACCCCAATATTAATGAAAATCATGGGCCACAGTCAAGGTCCAGAAGAGAAGACCTGTTTATCCTTCAGCAAAGATATTGGCAGTGGCCCACGCAAGAGCGGGCTACAGAGGAAAGGGATCGAACCCCAGCACCTGCCCAGTTAGATCTCCACAGCACCCAACCCTTTCTGTTTAGGACCACTGTGAAAACAAAACGACGATCCTAACCAGGAGCAACATCCATAATTTTGTGGAATCCCACAGAAAACCTTGCTGAGGATGTTGAAACCCTTGTTCTAGTCTCATACGTGTTTGGGATCCAAAAGCATCTTTTCTTTCTGTGCAGGATTTCCTAGTTGAGAAATTACCATGTTTTGGGCTGGAGTCATGACACCTGGCGGAAACAAACCGAAAACGGCTCAGGAACATTCCTTTTCAAGGCCAAATATTTCACAGGATGGATATGCCCATTTTTTACCCATTCATCCGCTGGTGGGTGTTTGGGTTATTTCCACTTCTGAGCTCTGATGAACAATGCGGCTATGAACATTCCTGTGCAAGTTTTCTGTAGAAGTAGGTTTCATTTCTTGTGGGGACGTCCTTAGGAGTGGACTCACGAGGTCACACGTTTAACCACTGGGGAGGCTGCCCAAGGTGCTGTCTTCCTCAGCTGCTACACCGGGCTACATCCCAGGAGCACCTCAAGGCTTCTGGTGTCCCCACATCCGCGCCAACACTTATCACTCGGCTCTCTGACTCCCGCCTCCCTAGTGGTTGCACAGTGCTGTCTCACTGTGGCCTCGATTACGCGGCGGCTTGTTTCTTGTCTTGCTTACCAGGTGAGTGATTCATTTAAGGAAATGTTTCCTGTATTGAAGATAGCATTTCTAGATGTTCTTATCAGAGGGTGTTTCATATTCAGTCTGACATCTTGGGGAATTGGGAAGGCCTCATGTTTCACTTAGATTTTAGTTTTATGTGAACCAACTTGTACATCTTAGCAATAATCACCATGTGTGCAGGGGCAACAACACGTGGTCCTATTCAAGGCCATGGGCTTCAGAGTCGGATCTTCTAGCATCTGGATTCCAGCTCTATGCTCTCAACGATGCAACCTGGGCTAGTTACCAAGCCTTGATTTCCTCAAGTGTGCCGCGGGGATAAAACGCCTTCCTCAAAGTGTTAACTGAAGAGTGAAATAAGATAATACATATACCCCATGCTGGGAGATAGAAGATTCAGAAATGGTTGCCACCAAATATGCTTCACCATCTGTTTGTCCAGTGCGGTGTCCTGACAGTTAGGAGGTACAGACTCCTTCACACCCCACCTCAGAGCGGAGGCTTAGAAAGGTCAGAACACAAAGTGATCAATGGCAGGAGAGCCCAAGTCCTCTAACCAAGAAGCCGAGTGTCTGCCACCACACCAGGGCTACCCTCGTGGGTTTAACTAGAAATAGTACCTCTACTAGTAATAATAATAGCAAAACTTAAATAGTACTTACCAGGTGCCAGATAGTCCTCCAGGTGCTTTTTTTTTTTTAAATGTATTTTATTTATTTGACAGAGAGAGCACAGGCAGGGGGAGCAGCAGGCTGAGGGAGAGGGAGAAGCAGCCTTCCTGCTGAGCAGGGAACCAAATGTGGGGCTCGATCCCAGGACCCTGTCATCATGACCTGAGCCAAAGGCAGACGCTTAACCGATTGAGCCACCCAGGCGCCCCTCCAGGTGCTTTCTATACAATAGTTTTCTAATCGTCCTAGAAATCATATGAAGAAGGTACTATTATTATCCTTATTTATAAAAGTGGAAACCAATGCAAAGAGAGGTTAAGTAACTTGTCCAAGGTCACTAGCTGATAAGCAGCGAGGCTCGGATTCAGTCTGGCTCCAAAGTACATGCTCTTAAGCAATGTCTATCGATCTCAGTTATATTACTTTTTGTAATTCAAACACGAACCACTCTAAATGCTCCTTGTCTCCCACCTACTATCAACTTAAAGTTTACACACTTTGTCCCTCAGAACCGTTCTGTGCAGTGCGGCAGCCGCTAGTCCCATGTCGCTGTTGAATATCTGAAATGGAGCGAGTCTGAACTGAGATGCGCTGTGAGCGCAGAGTAGATCCCAAACGTGCAAGACTCAGTATGAAAAAAAGAAGAAAAAGTATCTCACTGGGGCGCCTGGGTGGCTCAGTCAGTTAAGCCTCTGCCTTTGGCTCACGTCATGATCTCAGGGTCCTGGGATCAAGCCCTGCATCGGGAGGGAGATTGCTTCCCCCTCTCTCTCTGCCTGCCTCTCTGCCTTCTTGTGAACTCTGTCAGATAAATAAATAATTAATAAATAATCTTAAAAAGAAAAAAAAGGATCTCACTAGTAGCTTTTGTAATGACTACATGTTAAAATGATACTATTTGGGATATATCAAGTTAAATACAAATGTATTATGAAAATTTGCCCATTTCCTTTAACTTTCTGATGCGGCCACTAGAAAATGTGAAATTTCAAATGTTGTCCACACGAGTGACTTCCATTGTACTTCTCTGGGACAGCAGCGATGTTGGGGGAAGATTAACCTGATTAGCAGTCTTCAAACGTTTCTGCACATGTACCCCCACAATAATGTTTTAAATTAGGTACTCTCTCATGCACCCTGGAATAATACATTGTAATGACTGAGGATGTGATAAAAGGTGTATCTGTCTTTTGCAAAGTTGGCAAAAAGGGCATTTAGGAGGGGGGAATGGCAAAGGAGGGATGGCTTCCAGCCCGGGGCCAAGGAGCCTCCCAAGGCACAGCAGGCAGCTTTAGGAAGGAGAGTGCAACGAAGTTGATGCCGTGCAGCCAGCTAGTCAGGGTGCACCTCCTAAGTTCTCCTGCGAGCTCAGGCGTGTGTACTGTTTGGAATCTGATGGAAAGGCAGACAAACCGACAGCCTCTAGTTAAAACTGGGCAAGGTCTGCCTTCCCTCCCCAGTGACACTGCCCGGCAGTACCACTTGGTTCCTGCAGGGGGCAGGCTCGCCTCTGCCTGTGCACCCAGCCCAGAGGGAAGGCCTGAAATTCCAGCACCCGAAGGGCCCTCTCACCACTCCCTGGGCGCCTCCTCTTTGGTCTTTCTGTTTAACCCCAGGCCATGACCCAAAGTGTTCAACTTAATCCTAAAATACACACATGCCAACACGTAGAGTCTCAGGACTCCACTGATTTCCTTTGAATCTTTCACAGATAACATTACCTTGCAAACAGTTTTTTTTTTTTCTTTTCACTAAATAGGCCAAACTTTCCGGTTGTTATTATAGGACTTAGGGCTAGTTGGCATTCCCGTTTATTTCAGAAGGTCCAGGGAGCCTGAGGGATATCCTGGCATCCAAACCCTGAAGCTCAGCCCAAGAACAAATGATCCTTTTCACCTTCTCTTCCCACAAGGCATGGAAATGACAGCAAGTTTAAAAATAAGACACCAGGCTTTCCAGCTAACCTGGAGATGGTCTGGGCCAAAAGCAGGAGAGGAACAGAGAGCTCACAGAAACAGGGCCCTAAAAGGTACTGCCAGAGAGAATGTTCCAGTGTTTCCCTCTTCACTTAGCTCACTCAGCAAGGAGACAAGCTGCTGTATCTCTTGCCAGACGAGCTTCCTTCTTCCCACACTGAGAATGGCTCCTTGTCGAACATTTCTGTTTTCAGGAACAATAAAGCTGTGTACTTTAAGTGAACTAACCTCACCAGGTTTTCGGGCAAGGTAACCACTTTAAGGGTGTTCTCCCACCAAATGCTGAGTGGCCGGGTGAGAGCAGACAGCTCTACAGATGATTAATACACACGGACAGATGGGGGAACACTTGAGACTCAAACAATCAGTGCCTGCACTTTTAAATATAAAACTGGTGGGTTTGTTTGGATAAACTCAGGATAAGGCAGAAATACTGATTTGTTCACTCTTGTTGCCAAACCCAAACCAATATTTACAAACCATTTTGCTGAACGAAGTTCATTTCAGCTGACATCAGAGGCATATGCCACAGAGAATCGGACTTACTTAGTGGGAGTTTAATGCCCAGGTCTAACAATATTTGTTTTACGTAAAAGAGCAACCATATTCCATAAACATATATGGATAACACTAAAAAAAAGAAAAGATAATTATAGGACATAAGGAAATAAGAGGAAATAAGAAATTTACTTGGAAGAAAATAAGCCTTGCATGATCTTCTTTAAGAAAGTTACTAGCACCAATCTCATTTCCTCATGTACAGTTGCTGGGTGGGATCCGGGAGGATGCAAAGACGGTCTCCATCTGAACCGCAGGAGATCATTCTTTCTTGTCTCCTAAAACCTGAAGTTGAAGAGTTCATGGCCCTCCCTTAATAACCAGCTTGCCAGCCACCTGAGTTCTGTTAATGTGTTCATTTGCCCCTTTCCCATTTTGGAGTCCAAACACCAAGCCCAATGAAGTGCTCTTCAAAGAACTGGTAAAGGATAATAATCTCCCTTCACCGAACATCCTAGCAGGTGAACCCATTCAAAGAGGATTTTACGACGGACTCTTGACATGGAAATGTTTGGTTAAGCCCCTTTTATGGTTTGCCTTCTACTCAGAGCCCACCATGGTGACACAGAATAAACTTCTGAGCTCTGCACAGACTGTATTCAATTTATTAATGTTAGTGGTATGCTCGTCCCTCCCCAGGCCAAGCTCCGTGGGCCCTCTTTATAGAGAACTCTGTATAACGGAGAGCTTTGCATTTTAGCGTCTCCACAGGATACCAACAAGATTCGTGA